TGAACAGTAAGAAAAGAAGAAGAAAGATTAATTCTCCTGATTTCACTCTTGAACTCGGGTTCACCTATCCTTTCTTTACCTTTACAGTCTCGCTCTCTCCTCTCCAATTTCTCTCTTGGATTCTAATAGGATGAAGGAAAATAGGAATTCGACGGAGCGCAAAAAGATAGTCGAGCAAGAAGCGGGCAGGCATAGGTAGTCGACAGCAGCAATCGACCATCTTGAGCAAGAAGAGAAAGAAGGACCAAGGACGAGAATCAAGGAAAGAAAAGACAAAGACTAAGTAAAGGGAGACGAAGATAGCATAGGGACATTGCTCCGTACTAGTTAAGTAGTTGAGCCCGGCACCCCCGCTTTAAAGGATGCTCTTTAAGGTTATTCAGGGTCAAGTAATTCATTGATGGAGCCTACTTTCTTGATGATAGGAATAGTCGTTCTCTTAGTTCAATCCTGTCTTATTTGCTGAGCCTAGCGAAATTGCCTGTGTGAGGCATCAAAATCACCTTCCGTTCCCTTCGTCAAGCTTGGCTTTGGAGCGTATACCAGAGTGAATCTAAGCATTCCTTTATGTTTTTTTGTATCTTTCTATTGATGACTACTCAACTCAAGTCAGGACTAGCGTTCGCACATCTCTTTTGAAAGGCTAAGATCTTTGTACCAATACCTTTTCACTCTTAGCTTAGGAAAAAAGATATTGGTTTTTTCTAGGCGTACTACTGAAAACAGTTGCATAAGGTTTTACATAGCCATAGTTGGACTGCTTGCTAACGCGGACTGCTAAACCGAAGCAACAAAGTTGTAGTAGAAATTCCTTTCTCAATCAATGGTTGTTCTCTTTACTTATTACAACCATATGCAAGCTCACTCCGAACCGAGTATACTTTTTACAGGAAAGAAGCAACTAGAAAGATCCTTGGGGGCAACTCTAAAAGGCTAAACAATTGCACGCCTGGACCGCTATCGAAAATTAGCCCTTGAAACCGGAGGACTAATGCTTTTGATTAGGTTAGGTTCCTGCCAAGAAACTGACTTAAAAGACTACTGCTTTCAAGACTCTTGCTAAAGTCAATAGTGCTTCCTTTCACTAGTCCTGCTTTCTTTCTTTCTTTCCTAAGCTTTCTTACTGAAAAACAGGCTTTGACAACCTCTAATGCTTGCTTGATGGGAGAAATGGAAATGGGTTGGGATTAGACTCCTTTAGGGAGAATCTATCTTTAGAACGTAAACGTGAGCTCGAAGGCGAGGAATGACATGGATGGATAAGGCATGATCGGAGAAAGGCCTCTCTTTCCTTTCAAGTTTAGAGTATGCGATACTAGGCTGTATAGATAGACTTGAAGCCTTCCTTCACTCCTCTTATCGGAAAACTTTGTATCTCACTTAGAAAGAGTGATCTCATACCTCTTCCTATCGATCTCAATCCTAAGACAGCAACTGCTGGCGAAGGCCCTTAAAGAATAACTCCCTACCCTCTCCTTATCAGTATCAATCGAGTCATTCATCTTGAGCTATTAAGCCAAGGCTAGCCACTCTAGCAATTGAATACCTTCCAGACCTGGCTGAAGATACAATAGCTAAAAGAAAAGAAAATGCATTCCTGAATTCATTCAATCTGGCCTGAGAGTGAAATAGAGAAGTGAGATAGAGAAGGGAGTTGTAGTTCTGAGTTTGTAGTTGGAGTTCGTGAGCCATGGTGAGCTTTTTCAATCCTCTCGAATCAAAGACGGGAAAAGGCATTAGTTGGCCGGCCTTAAGAAAGAAATTCTACATTCTCGATGCTTTCGCGCTAGTCATGAATCCGTCCTGGGATATCTTGATTATCTTTATGATGGGTCGGCAACAACTCCCTTTGGGGAATAAAGAATCGATCGTCTTTGGTTCCCACCAATCGATCTTCTGTAGAAGCAGGAGGTAGCGCGAAAGAAGAATTACAATTGCAAGTTTGACCCGGCAACCAAAGAAGCACACCAGACTAGAAGGAAAGGCAAGCAAGGCAGGATTTTCACCCTTCGTTCTAAGTGAAACTCCCTTTGTTCTAGTTTCAAGGAAGAGTCGGGTCCCTTAACTTCACAGAAGAGGGAGAACACTTTATAGAGGAAAGGAAGCACTTGACCAACTGGTGCGCTCGCTGAAGTTGTAAACGAAATACAACACGTAGAAAATGACCTATGCGAGACTATCCCCTTTGATGGAATCAATCCATTAGGAATCCGGATAAGTGCCATTGGAACTATTCCTGCTTCATTCAAGCTAGTATAATTCTCTCGGATCAATTATCGATCCCAGTCGCATCTCATATAGAGAATAGATTCCCTTCAACACTATTGTGCCATATCAATACAAAGGCGAACCAAGAAGGCTTGATCTGTTCCGTTGGGATTAGTTCGGCAGGTAAGATCTTATACTTCTTAGAATAGGAAGGCAGAGAACCAACCACTAAAGATTCTGCTCTGATTGATAAAGGGAGGTTGTATAGTCCCTTCACTCGAAGGAGGAGAGGAAAGGAGGTTCTAAAGCCCTTGTTGCAGCTAATAGACTCAAAAGGAAAGCGAAAACAAAAACCCTTCTCGCGGGAAGCCTCGCGATTGGACAATTGCTCTTCAAGTGCTTTTGCCAGCGTTGATGAATTTGATATCGGGTATTATTTCGATCCGGATCGTCTGTCTGATTGCGAACATTATTGAGGTCAGTCTATGCTCTTTCCTTATACTTTGCACCTGATATGAGCGGTTTTTGGCCCCTTGCGACAAGTACAGCTAGTGAACGGCATTGATAAGAGTTAGATTTCCCAGCGCTGCCCGCTCTCTATCATGGGATTTTCCTTAGGATGCTTCCAAGTGTCTCTACCCAGTATAAGTAGACGATTCTATACTTTTGTATCCGTATAACGTATAAAGACTCTAGACCGAGACTGTTTTGACTATCTATATCTTTGAATTTCATTACTGAAATCTGACTAAGAATTCCTCTTCTTTGTTTATTGTTGTCATAGTAATGGTATCAAAAATACCTAATAAGAGGGATTCCATGGGCCTTACCGAGGAAAGAAATGCTGCTTGCGGGGATCTTCTGCCAGGATACAAGACGGAACCATCTTGCACCATCCCTACCGTACCAGTTCCAGTACTCACGGGCCTTCAAACTCGATTTCAAATCTATTTCTTTCTTGTTAGCTTAACTAGCTAAATGGATTTCAATGGCAGTTCGGTCCGATCAGTCGGATTCATATGTTTTATGGGCTATTTGCCTTGGTTTATAGGCCGAATTCAGAGCAAATCACTAATGTCGAAACTCTCGCGGCAAAGCCTCGTGGTTGGGACTTGTTTCAATTTCCCTCGGAGAAATTGCTTTTTCAGCCAGCTGACGTAGGGGATAGAGCTTTTTAAGCCAGTTACTGATATTTATTAAACAGCATTCTAGCAAGTTCACCTATTTTGAAGGTCTCTACAGGCTATTACCGCATTGGGGGCATCTCCTTCTATAAATTCTTATAGTCTGATAGTCTATTCAGAGAGGATCAATCTCCTCCCAAGGACTTATCACTAGACGACTCTACCTGGCCAACCAGAACACGAAGGTCCTGATTGCTCGACAAACCAATCGAATATACGGAATATGATACCAAACTTCCAAGTTGTCACATCCACTTTTGGTTCGTGCCATGTTCATATAAACATTGGACTGTCTATAAAGTCGTCTAATCTAGCATCAGGTGCCAAAGCGACCTGGCAGTACCTTTGTTAGGTATGAGAGAGACTGGCGCATCCATCCTTTCTAGAAAGAGTCTTCATTCAAATCTCTTCTGGGTATGCGAAAGCGCAGTCTAGAGGACAGATCGGATCTTTCTTTGGGGACCTCTCCCGAAGCGTATCACCCTTGCAACACACTGAGGAGTTGGAATGAAACCTAAAGCGACCTGCAGCCAGAGCGTTGTTGGCATCAGCTGCGAATCCGGCTAGATCCTGGATAGAAAAGCAACATGGAAGGAAGAAAAAGCTCAAGTTTGCCAGCTTGCAAGAATCCTTTTCGTTCTTCCTTGGCAAATCAAATCAAGTAGAATCTGATTACACAAAAGACGGAAGCAAATTTTTTATACACTATACACTAATACACTTAAAAATGAATCTAAAGCAAGGGCTTTGAACGCTGTTAGGACAAAGAAATTGGAAAGCTAGGACGACCTTGAATACGGAATCAATTACCAGACGGACGGACTGGCTGGTCCACTTGTACGTAGAAGTCAAATTACCCTGATTGGAGTTCCAATAGGGGCTAACATTCCCTAACGAACGAATGCAATACATGGAAGGCTTACGAATGTAGTACAGGACGGCTTTACCAACTTTTCATACTAGGTGGCTATTGGAGTCTTTCTTCTCTGAGAGCGCGTGATTCGATTCTGATTTCGAGTAGGATTCCCGATTCAACTCCGAAAGAGACGCGACTTCCCATCCTAGGCTTTATCCGTTCGCTGAGCACAATAGAATACAGAGAAATGTCAATCATGGAAAATTGGAATGAAAGAAAGATAGCCTTGCACCGGAGACATTTGACTAAAATGAAAAATGAAAGACCAAAGGGCGTAAAGCAAAGTCTCGGCTAAGACCTCGGATGGGATATTATGAGGTTTAGTGATGGGATATTTTTTTTCCAGGAGATATGTACAAGTTGTTGATCTACCTGACTCCGCGATCCCTGAGGGGGGGTTGGGCAAAGCCTAATGATCTGAAACCTTTACTTGTGGAATCTGGAGAAGAAGCTTTCGCGGAATATAACTCTTAACACAGAAGTGGCAATTTTGTGAATAAATAGTCGTATCGCCGACTGGCCTTTATCGGCCCACTCTTAACACAGAAGTGGCAATTTTGTGAATAAATAGTCGTATCGCCGACTGGCCTTTATCGGCCCTTCTATCGAGTATGAAGAAAATGGGGACACCTTAAACCAGGCTTTCTACTAAATAGAAAAAGAAGCCATAGAGAAGAACTAATGGATCGAACCCATCCTTGGTTGCTATGAAAGATATCAGCCTTGCGTTGCGAAAGGAACGTTATGTTTTGAGTTGGAGCACCTTATTAATTCAATTGTCCTTTCAAGCAAGAGTTGTTTTAGATCAATGAATGAGAAGGAAGAGAGTGAATAGGGCACAGGAAATTCAGTCATCCAGGTTCAGAGCTGGAAGCAGGCATTCAGGCTGTGAGGCAATGAAATTGTTAGCTTTCATTCAATCAGCTTGGTTCTTGGCTTTGCCATTTCCTCTCTCAAGCACTACTTGAAATGAAAGGGCAAGATCAATTAAACAAAGACTAATTTCAAACCTCGCTATCGCCGAGTCAGTTCTTATGGCCGAATCCGCAGCAAGTGAATGCCTGAGTCATGGGACATTCCTTTCTTCAGTTGAAGCAAGTCATTTTGCTTTCCTTTCCTTCTCTGTCGGCGGGCTAACTAGAAAAGTACGCATTCAGTTGTGGTGGACTAGGACTCTTTTCATTGGTTTGGCATTGAGTAAGCGCTTGAAGGCACTTAGAAAAGAGAATCCCGGAGAAGATTTCATTCTCATAATCAGATTTGATTCTCTTTAGAAAGAGTGACCTGACTTCGATTCAAAAGCTGTAGCTTGTTCGAAAAAGAAAAGAAAGAGGCTGTAGCCCACCCAATATTTGCTTACTGAGACCCCTTGTTCAAAGAAAGGGTAAAAGGAAGAGGTTACCTCTTTAAAGGAGATTCACTATCAGACTCAGACTGATACAAGGAAGAGTTGGACTTAGACACTCTGACTCGGTTTCAGACTCGGACTCTGGTTCTGACTCTAGATGCATAGGTCTGGACTCTTCTGCGAGGTACCGATTCTGGAGTGGAAGACCGAATCAACCCTATTGGCTCAATTTCATCTCCATCTTCAAGGACATAAACATTCTCAAAGAGAGTCCATGTTCTCTTCCCAATCATTTTCCATCAGCTGCATCGGCTCACAGTCTTCTAGCTTGAGGCTGGTATCGAAGAAGATTGAAATCAAACCCCGACATTCTCTTTTAAGTAGTAGGGCAATACCAAGGCTCAGGAAAGCCACAAAAAGGAAATCTGCCCCTTGACAAAGTAACTGTTAAGGGTTTTGAAGTAGGGGCTCATTTTCCAATCAAAAGTCTGGCCATTCCATTCTTTTTGGCCAAGACTCAACTTTGGATTCTTTCCTCTCGCTCCCTTTGATCTTCCTTCAAAGGAGCGTATCCTTTCCCGTATAGAGGTTGGGTATTCTGGTATTTCTGTTATGCCTTGCTGATTCTTCCCTAACCCCAAGCATGGGAAGTAATCAATCTTCCTCATGATGTTAGTCACTACGTGATTTGCATATGGGTCAAAGTAAAGACCAATGAGCTCCTTACTATCCAAATGGTCAAAAACCTGAACTGTGTCGAAATCAAACCCGGATAAAGATAATGCGGCAAAAGAAGCCTCGGGTTGGATTTATAGTACTGGGGGGCATTATTGACCTTGCCATGTTTTCCATGCAAATCCCTGGTTACCACCGAAGGAAGTTCCGAGGGGGAATTCTTGTTTCAGGTGCATAGAGGATGGCCTGACCCCCCTTTTGTTTGGTGCAACCACAGTCTGCCAAGTAACAGATTCAAACATGCAGGCTCGATGAAATTGAGTACTGTAAAGTCAAAGTAGTCTGAGCAAAGAATTTTCATGCTCTCCCGATCATGCGGTCCAATGCTCACATCCAAGGTGGCTACACCTAAGACCTCTTTTTTGGTATTCTCGACTGAACAATCAGGTCAGAAGGAGTGAAAGAAGATGCCTCAAGCCTCAGTTGCAACCTTTAATGGACAGACATTCAAAGCTGAGCCATTGTCTTTGAGTACCATTTGACTTTCTTTGTAGGGTTTTCCACAAGCCATTACTCTAATGTACAGTGCCTTGAAGTGAGAACTTCTACCTGAGGCAAGGTCTTTGTCAATGAAGTGGCGGCTGTCTGGTAGCATTCATCAATGTTGCCACCAATGTTTCTGGCGAAGTCTTACTAGGTACTTGGCACTGATTGTGTGCTTTACTCAAGGGGCTTGGCGATGGTTGGTATGAGGACTGTATAAGACTCCAGATCGAGATATTAGCTTGAGTCTTTTTTAGTTTAGTTGTTTGAGGATAAGATCCTCTTCTTTCTGGCGTTGGATCAAGCTTGATTTTTGCGATGGGTACTGCCTTCTATTTCTAGTGATGACATTGATGCAGTCTTCCTCAATAAAGTCGTTGAGGTCAAGCACCATACAATCATTGTCACTAGGTGCTGGTAAGTCATCTAAGTCCATTTCGTCTATGAAGAAATCCCAGTGGTCATGGCGTCAGTAAATTCATCCCAGTCCATGTCTATGTCCATATCTTCCTTCTGACGGTCTTGTTCTTCAACATCTAAACCCCATCCCGTTGGAATGATGGATTCCTATGGTATGCTCGCATGAGGTTGTGCAGTGTAGAACACCTTATTGTTCAATTTCCCCGAGGGCTGTTCCATCTACCCTTTCTACTTCCTTTCTTCAGGATTGGTTATAGGTAGGTATAGTCCATCTCATCATCATCTTCGAGGTAGCCTCGTGCTTAGGAAATGGATTCGCAGTAACACTTGACTTAGTTAGGTGATGGTGGAATTATTGATCCATTATTTATGAGATCCTGGACCACTCTTCTGAGAGTTCTACACACATCAGTCTTGTGCCCTTTCTTTGGAGAAGTCACAGTCTTCCTCAAGCTTTGTTCTTAAGGCTTTCGATTCTGTATTCGGAATAATTCCTTTGCGTCATGCTATCTTGTATACCACGCCCAGCGGCATGCCTAGCTCTGTGTAGGGCTGTTTGTCCAGTTGTTGAGCATTGATATTGGGGAGACTTCCTTACCCTTGGTTTGTGAAGTCTGAGCATTGTAATTCCTGGAATTACCTATACCTGTTTGAGGTGTTAGACGCCCTTCTTAAGGAAATTGGAATTAGCTCGCTAACGCAAGGCTAGAAAGCCAACAAAGAAGCAAGACGAAGTGGAGCTCATCTATTCATTTCCCTCTGACGAGCCTATGCTCAGGATGTTCTTCGATCCCAACAAGTTCTTCGATACGAGACCCTTCAACTGAAGCGTTCTACCAATAAGACTTTCTATTTGATGAATCAAACTCATCTTTCTCTCTGATCTCGTTCCTGTCTTCCCTCACTCAAGCTACTGACTGACTAACTCACTTCCTACGTTACTCAGTAAAGTGCCCAGAGGTACGATGAATTGAATTAGCTAACGAATCTTCCGTAATGCTTGCAAAGAAATAATCAGACTTTTTCTACTCGGAACGAATGGGAAGAAGTGAATCAGAAATGAACTTATATAAGAGAGAGCAGAATCAAATAAGCGGTTTTGTAGGAAGGGGATGGAGAAGCGGATTCCTACTGATTAATAGAATAATCGACCACCATCCTGACTTTGACTTCCAGTTGGTTGTGTGCCCGCTTCGGTTGCAGACTTCGGTCAAGGAAATCGCTTCAAGCAATGGCTTTGGATCGACCTTCTTAGAGAGTCAAGCCAGTGAATGAATGAATGAATTCAATCCGTTGAATGAAGAAGTCTTTATGGCTCAGCTAGCGGACCAAAAGTCAAGCATGTCAGCACGACCCCTACCTATGTAGTCGGCTTCCCGGTAGTTTGCGGGACGCTATTTGATATTGGAATCGGTCTATCTAAATGGCCTATCTCCAGATCTATGTATTCTTGAAATCCATTTATCATAGTTCAATTCCCGGGCATTGATTGAGAGGGAGCACTGAACGAGGAAGGCAGCAATCTCCTTAAGAAGGGCAATCCTCAAAAGAAGCGGCCAGAAGAGACATTCATTAATAACGGATCTCGACCCCATATCATACGTACAAGAAATTCTCCCTTCTTCCCATATCACTCATTCACATTCAATATCATTCCCTGCCAATATTCTTGTTTAAGATAGATCGCTTCCCCCGCTAACTGAGGGCAACGGGAGGCCTAGTCGATGTAGGCCCTCAAACCGGCACGCCCAGCTTCTTAGTCAATCGACACTTTCGTCTTGTTCGGGATATTCCATTCAAGTTAGACCACCAGCATCTGATCTGAGTCAGCAGAATCTAAGCTAGTTGCGGTTTTCTCTTTGATAGCTAAATAGGCTACGTCAGTATCTACTATTGAGGCCTTTCAAAATGCTGATTGAATTTTTCTTTCTATTCTAATTGATACAAATTCTCACGCTCTAATAGTTGGGCAAAAAGGTAAGACCAAGTCCGTAATGTAAGAACATTCTTTTACGCACCATTCAAAAATGAATTCTGACATTAGTAATGCATCAGATGGTTAATACGGGAGTCACATTGAAATATTCATTGAATTGTATGCCTCTTTCCATTAAGCTAAGCTTAAGAAAGAATCAAGATCTTAACATCAGATCCAGATTCCGCTCCTCGAATTGTATTTGCTGTTGGCTCTTGCCTATTCTATCAGTCATCATTCTGGCTATCTAAATCACAAGCAGAGGTTTGACGGGACTATGACAGGCAATTTTCTGTTGTTAAAACGGACCCACATTGCACCAACAAGTCACCTGCTCCGCTTAGTTTGAGAAAAGTAGGAATTCCCTTGTACTGCGCGAACTCATATGCATACTTGGATGCTAACTCGAATGATGTCTCTGGATAATTCATTTATTCAGGCACCTCGACTGGACGACATTTCAAAAGAACAAGAGTTTACCAAGGATAGGAAATTGACTCTATCTACTGATGTGGTAAAGGTTGTTGAGAAGGGGACATGTGATCAATGTCTTCTCCTTTCTAACCCGTGTCACGTCGCCCTATCCATTGAGGAAGAAGGCGTATGCTCCAGTCTCAAATCTTTCCTACCAATTGAGAGGTAATAACGTCAAGCTTGAGTGCCTCCCTTTTTGATGATCTTGTCACTTCTCTGAAACTATACTAATAGCTACTCTGCTATTGATGCATGAACAAACCACTATCAATAGGTATCTCTACGCATAATAATGAATATATGATTCATTCAAATACATTAACCCAGCAAGAGTTGACCATGCAGGGGGTAGTGACTAATGAGCAAGGTACCTTAGCTTATGCCAGGTGGAAACCTTCCTTAATCCTTAGTTTCACACTAAGCTCTTCGATCCTTCATAAGGGCTATCAACTACTCCCCCTAGGCCTTTCATGTGGTCCCTGACCTCCTTGATCTCATCATCGGTACCCAAGTTAACAGTCTCCATTCCATCCATGGCAGGCTGTGCACGATCTTGAGGTTTGACCTTAACCTATTCGAAACACTCCTTTAATCATTTCTGATCTTCTAAGTCTAGGCCTTCGTATGATTCATTATAAGTTGAATGATTACATTAACCAATTAATCATCATCATGAACATCAGCAAGCAAAAGAGACTCTGAACCAGAAAGAATTTCATTCATGTTCAGTTCAGGAAGAATACAATCACCAAGTTCATCGAGGGTTATGGCATCGAGATCAAACGACTCATCACTAGACTCAAGGAAATAGTCGGACTCGGAGATAGAAACTAAGAATTTTAGTCTTAAACATTCGGAGGGATCAGTCCAAGACCCTGAATCTCTCAAGAGCTTCATCAAATAGGATTAGCCCCCCTGTGAACTTTCACCTTCTTGTTGAAAAGGAAGATGATCCTTATAGGCATGGGGTACACCGTCAACTCCAGCATCGTGACATGCCCTCTCTTCTCATTTACATCCTTAAAGGATCAAGAATCAGTAGATCGCCTGTAGCCCTATTTCAATTCGGGAATTCAAGGGTTGGTTAGCCGAGGAACGAAGTCACTCGCCCTAGTTGTTTCAAATAAGCTGAATCTGATTAATTAGCCGAGCGAGACTTCTATCCCTTTAGACTAGGCTTGGTTTCTTGTGTTCGGATCTTCTTTAGAAATAGAAAAACTGAAAGACATTCTATCCTCCGGCCCGACTATGCTATCTTTCCCTTGACCTTCCTTATTCTGAAGCGGACAAAGCTCAATTCCTCATGGTAGAAAAAGGAGAAATGGTATGACTTTACAGAAGCGTGCTTTAGGAAACGAAAGAAGACCTCATAGTCAAATAATGCTCAATTCTAACGGTCGTAGGTTGAGTAGCCTAAGGCAAGTCTCCAGCAGCCTGTTGTCGGTGTGGTTGGGGATATGCGCCATCTGACAAAAACCTAAGTGAGTCGAACGAACCGTTATATGTTTACTTGAAATAGATATATGCCATATGCTTGCTTCTCGCTATCGAAGCTTCAATACTTCATTGTTTAAGGTCTCTACACCCCGTTCTCCAGAACTCCCACTAAAACATCACTTCACGTATCGCCAACCCCGAGCCATACATTTTAGCAGACCGTCTGTCCTGCACATTCTTCTCTCAATCGACATGAGACCAATCAGTCAGCAGCCAGCACAGCGGCCTCCCCCCACATGGAAATGAAAGAAAGATCTCTGAATGAGAATACCTTTGATAATAGAATCAGATTCTTTCTCAAGGGGAAACACCAGTAAAGCAGGAATTTCAAGCAATGCATCCAGCCGTATCACTGCAGGGACAGGTTATGAAATAGTTGGATCCGCCGGGGCATTCATTCAAGACTCCGATAGATGGGGGAAAGAAAGGAGTTATCCATCAGAGGAAGGCAGTGGAAGATCGGGATTCCGGGAAGGAATAAACAATTTGAACTTCATCCAACAACGAAATATCTAGCAAAACTAGAATGTCCCTTCAAAAATCTCTTAACTGTTTAAGTTGGGCTTATTGAAATCGGAATCATAGTCCGCATCAGTAGGTGAGGTAGTGTCAGTCTTAGCTGCTTTCGTCTTATAGTATAGGGTTGATCGACTGAAGACGAATAAGGCGCTGTAAGCTAAGCGCTCGACTATCTGGTGACGCGCTCACATGGCTGAATGAAGGTGCGTGCCCCGGACAGATAAGGGTGTACTATAGGAAGTTGGTGGTTGTCCTCCAGGCGGAGTGTTGGCTCCGCTGAAATATGGGAGACTTTCGTGGTTAGGTGCAATAGGGCTTTAGCGTTAGGCTCAATGGTTGGCCTTTTAAAGCATTAAGTTAAATAAGGAAGTCAATGGGAAGGGATCAAAGCTAGAATTGAGAAAGCAAAGTCAAAGAGAATAAGGCGCTTTGTCTAGGAGAGATGGAAGCTCGCTTATAACGCTCTAAGGATTTGCCAAGGACAACCCAAGCGAGATCCAATAAGAGGCTGTGGGATGTGGTTGACTTTGATCTGGCTTCTTGACTTCTAAAATACGTAAACTGCTCATTCCATATATTCTTCAGGTGGAGTTGTTGATATGAGCCTTGTTCCACTATGCTCACCATCTGTATCTCTACGTCCTACCCTGTAAAAACCGCATGACCATACGGATTTTGATTCATATTAATATTCAACAAAATCAGGTCTTTCAATTCCCAAATTTGTAGTAGCTTTTGCAACTCCCACAAGCGGATAAGAAAGAGCCAAGCAGATCATAATTCCTTCTCCACTCGCATGTCTATGTCTATAAAGAATCTATCAAAAAGAGGAAGCACCTTGACTCGTCCACCACCGACCGCTGACCATGTGCCGACCCCAAACCCCCCTTTCCTTTGTTTTGTGTGCCAGCTACGTTCTCTAGGTAGTAATAGGGTAAAGTCGTGGCTGGATTGAATCCTTCGAGATGCTCTATTTTGGCGAGATATCTTTTTTGAGGATTAACGTCTGCGAGCTATGCTGTAGAGTGAAGTAGAGAAGGGTCAGGTCAATGTGAATTGTGAATTGAGTATCAGGGGTGAGCTGCTAGCTTTGATTCCAAGTTAGGCTTATCCTGTTTGCAAGGAGCTTGGGATATACTATTGGACGACTCAGTGCATGGATCTCCTTCTTTTCACGAAGTGAGCTGCAAGGACGAATGGAAATGGTGTTTTAGAGCCCCACCCTACCACGCACGAGAGTTCATGTTCATTGCCTTGGCAAATCTTCCTGCTGGAAAGGCTGACAATAAGACTGAATCCTTTACCAACTTCTTGGACTTAAAGCCCGAAAACTCCATAAAGATCCATGGAATGAAACTAGCCTGTAACTTCCTCAAACTAAAACAGAGTTGCATGGAGAAGGAACAAACCTTAACGCCCCTACATGACATATAACAGCTCTATCAAACATATTACATGACTGCATATGAAAGAAAGCTCGAGTAGTCCCTCCTATCTCCTCCCTTAGCAAGGAATTCCTCACTACTCTGACCTCAAAGAAAAAAGGCATAATTCAAAATCAAGGCTTTCGGAAGGTATCCTTACACGCCTATACCAAATATGTGACTCAAACAGGTTATTAAGGGGAAGAAATTAGCCTTACAAAGAGACTCCACTAATCCAACTAGATTAGATGAGCTAAACACTACAACTCCATTCCTCG